TTTTCTCATTGAGTGACAACCCAAATTGCAATACTGGATAAGGCAAGTTTCTCCAATTAACTAGACCAAGGTACTTAACATTTAATATCTTTATACTTAATCTCTCTGATAAATTTGCACATGTATTAGATCTATAGAAATACAAAATTAATTAGAAAAATGTATAAATGAAAGGGGATTAATTAGAAAAAGTGTATAAATACAAGAAAAAATTGTAATTATTAGTGTGTGTAAATATATGGTACGTTGAGTGGAATGCAGGTGTATTCACCCATGAGATAACAGCTAGAAAAACTCATTTTCAATTAATCTATACACTTTAACTCTATTTGTTCTTTTTGTACGTAATTATATGTAGTTACTTATGTATGTGCATTTTTTTTAAAACTCTTTAATACATGTTCTTTAAAGTTGTGAACTTTTCCTTTGTTTCGACAAATTAAAATTTCTAAAATGTAAAATGTACTTACTTAAGACGTCTAGATTAACACTCCTTATATTAACAACTTTAAAATAATTTATCCCATTTTAATCCATAAAAAATTTGGTTAAGTTTCAAATAATATCAGCTATTTGAGTGGGATGAAAAGTCATATAATTAATTTAAACAACAGAGTTAAATCATATACTTAAAATTATTTTTGTTACATATATGCTAACACATGTTAATTAGGACCAATTACGGTTGGCCCAACAATTGACCAATGACGCTTGATTTGAACATTTTTTTGAGTCAAATGAACGGGCTGAATTTCAAAATATTGGTTGGGAGTCTTAGGATTCGGTTTAATAAGTATAGAATACTCTTACGAACATGGATGGAATAAATTATCCCTGGGTCATTTGTTGACCTTGAAACAAGGGACCGTTTACTTCACTTACTTTTAGTTACTAAATCGAAACTGATCACGTTGAATGATTCTTGATCTGCGAGACTTATATTTCAGTAAAAAATGAAGAAATGCTCAGAGCATGATAATTAAAAACAAAGTCAACCTGGTTCCTATGCTATGAAATTCATACTATTTTGTTGTGCTAAAAGCAATAGTTTTCGTAATTAGAGTTTACTAATTAATAAGAACATTGATCCAAATATGGATGAAAAAGAAACTCTCAATTCTCCAAACTTTGGTGGCAATCTACAAATCCATTAATACAAATATGAAAATAAGGATATTCCAACGCTTACAACAAAAATAATTTTAGACCATACTTGCAATTAAATCATTACCATGTACAATTTCCAATGCTGTGAATTCATACTTTTTGTTGTGCTAAAAGCAATAGTTTTGGTAATTAGAGTTTACTAATTAATAAGAACATTGATCCAAATATGGATGAAAATGAAACTCTCAATTCTCCAAACTTTGGTGGCAATCTACAAATCCATTAATTCAAAGCTGAAAATAAGGATATTCCAATGCTTACAACAAAAAATAATTTTAGACCATACTTGCGATTAAATCATTACCATGTACAATACCTATAGTAGGTTGTGTGGTCCACGTTGTTTTCAACCTTATTATTTTGACAAAGATAAAAATTATTATGTGGGCATCCTGTACAGGAGATATAAATGCCCCTCTTCTAGGAGTCTAATTGCTGCTATAGCCGCCATGATTCACTATTTTATTTTATTGGGTAAAAAACTTCAACAGTCACTAAACTATTGGTCGGATCATATTTTGACCATCAAATTATTTTTCATAAGTAATTGGCTACTAAACAACATAATCAGTAAAGCCGTGACCATTTGGTGGATAATTACTCTTAATCTATGAAATTAACAATTAATCTGTGAAATAGGGTCGCGTAGTTGTTGAACAAAATTGCCCCCCGCAATTTCACAGATTAAGAGCAATTATCGACTAAATGGTCATAGGTTTACTGATTAAGTTGTTTAGTGGCCAATTATTGACGAAAAATAATTTGATGGTCAAAACATGATTCGACCAATAATTTAGTGACCGCTGAAGTTTTTTGCCCTATTTTATTTGATAGCCTGCTGTTTCTAGATCAAACCAAATTGCTGTTTCCAAACACTATGTTTGGAAATACTAGGTGGGGCTCCTTGTGCTGTACAAAATCATCGCCCATCATAATGTAACCTTTATTTTGTATCCCAATTAAGTGGCATTCAAACATAAAGCATGGAGTTGATTAAGGCAATGAGATTGACAATTTGAAGTTAAATACGCATGAATGACTTCTATATTACATGTTCAAAAGCCAATGGATTTATATAGTTGCTCTTTTCCTCATTCTCTCTAGAACTCTTTTCTCCCTCTTTTCTCTAAAATTCTTCCGGTCACAATCCTCTTCATCTCTTCTATTGGAGAGTGATCAAATTTGATCTTTACCCATGAAAGGAAGCAACCTCTCTAGTTTTTAGTTTGGGCAAATTATTCAATTGGCCCTTGAACTCTTTGTCTAGGTAAAACTAAGCCCCTCATCTATTTTTTGCTGACTTTAAGCCCTCGAACTTGTAAAATTGGGCACCGGTGACCCTTTTAGCCAGTTTCTCTGGTTTTGCAACCGGAAGGCCAATTCACACGAATGCCATTGTGCTTCTTCAAAGGGCATTTTTGTCCACATCTTCTAAGCAAAAAGGGAACAACTCCTCGTCCTTCCCTCTGCAAAACCCTTGCCGCCGCCGCTTTCTCAACTTGACCCTCATCCGATTTTAACCTTGCTTTGTCTTGAGATACATCAGCTGCACCACCGGCAAAATCAAGCCGTACAAAGCCGCGGCTGCAAGCGTCATGAGGAACCCCAAAACATACATCTTGGTGGACTCACCCTTGGGCTGGTCATTACTGGTGTGCATAGCCAGAACCCTAGCTCCCACGGCCAGCAAAACAATGGCGTTGACTGAATATGCAGCAAATTTCTGCTGGACAAGAAGGAAAGCAAAGACAGCAGTGAAAGCAAGCTGTGAAGCAATGATGATGGAAGAGGTCGAAACAGGGAGCCGAGCCATTCCGTAGGCGTACAAGTAGTCGCCTATGCTGGTCAGGAGGCCGATGACGGTGGCGGCAATGAATAGAGGATATTTCATCAATACTAGCTTGGTGTTTGGCCTTTCAATTTTGCGGCCATGGAAATAGGAGATGAGTAGTGGCATGTCAATAATAGGAAATCCTACGGTTTGTAACCAACCGAAAGCCAGATTCTTTTGCCTCTTTTGACAAAGTAGAGACGCATGATTATAGAGTGATTAGACCAGTCTTTTGTCCTCTTGATTAGTTTATAAATTTTTTCTCCCAGCAAACTAGATTGCGTCAGAAAAACAGCTCAATTGAACCAGTTCAAGGTCAATGCATACAAAAAGAAAAAAGGAAAGAAGAACCGATTGGAAACACCTAAGAAGACCCTCAGGCTTAGAAGGGAGCCAAGTACTCCTCAAGGCTTCTCGGCGATCTGACGAGGAAAACCCCGTTTGAATTCCGACGAACCCAAGAAGCTTCCACCGCTCCGTGCCAGTGGCATTTCCGATGCCAGAGTCTCCTCCTTTGAGTTGCCAAGTGCTGGAAAGAGAATAGAAGGCTCTGAAAGTGTCCTGAATGTGACCACAGCAGAAGATAGGAGCGGGCTTGGGGTGAAGGACGGCGAGGAGAAAGAAGCTGATTCCGGCAACGCCGATGAGGAAGTAGAGAGCTGAAATTACGGTAATGGGTAGGAAAGTCCGATGTCGGGATGGGATTTGAAGTGGTGATATTACGACTTGGCCGGAAGTGATGAATTTTTCTGCTTCGATCTGTCGAAAGTTGAAACTTGCCAAAGCTGCGACAAAAATGCCCTTTGAAGAAGTACAATAACATTCGTGTGAATTGGCCTTCCGGTTGCAAAACCGGAGAAACTGGCTAAAAGGGTCACAAGTGCCCAATTTTACAAGTTCAAGGGCTTAAAATCAGTAAAAAATAGATGAAGGGCTTATTTTTATCTAGATAAAGAGTTCAAGGGCCAATTGGATAATTTGCCCTTTTAGGTTCTCTTGTTTTGAATAAATTCTGAGAGTTTCTTTTCTTCTAAATTATTCTAGTAAGAGTTTTATTCTCTCTTGAATTTTTCCTTGAGAGAGTTTTTTTTTTTTAGTTTTATCTTTTTTTGTGAAATTTGAAATTTTATAGATCTATAATCTAATTTTATAGATTTGCAATTTCTCCATTAGTGTTAGATCTAAATTTTTCTTTGAACTTATACTAGTTTTATTTTGATCTGACTGTCAGAAAATATACACAGATGTATTGAGCAACAATAATTCGTCTAAATGGAAGATATCTAGAAGCATCAATGTTGATATATATTTGTATGGATTTCTTAGATCTGTTGTATCTATTGATTTTCAGATTTATGTATTTGTATCATATTTGTTTGATGTATTTTTTACCATTAGTACAGATTTATTGAATAAAATGATCTTTTCTATACATAAAAAAAGAACCAATGGATTCATAGTTTATTAAGACCCATCCGCTAATGTTATTATCAGTCTCATTTGTTGAAGAAGGCAAGATTACAAGAATGATGGATCTTGAATCTTAATATGCTGCCAAAAGGAGCCTTTTGTGCTATCAAAAGAAATTTCTAAATAAAGGAATATAAAGTAGGGCAAATTATCTAATTGGCCCTTTAACTCTTTGTCTAGGTAAAATTAAGCCCCTCATTTATTTTTTGATGACTTTAAGCCATTGAACTTGTAAAAGTGGGAAATCGTGGCCCTTTTATCCAGTTTCTCCGGTTTTACAACCGGAGGATTAATTCACACGAATGCAAGTGTGCTTCTTCAAAGGGCATTTTTGTCTGCATATTCTAAACAAAAATGGCACAACTCCTCCACATTCCCTCCATTTTCCTAACCCAACCCAACTGCTAGTCGAAACTTCACAGCAACAGCCTTACCCATTTTCATCTTCTCTTGAGGATCTTTGCGGAGGGAGAAGAGCAAGAGAGTTAATTCCTACTTGTCGGGTTTGGGTATCATCGACATTGAAGCAACAATGGAGGGGTGGCAAATCAGGCCGGAAAATGAATACTTTGATCCTGTCCTCGCTTATGGTATGTATATTCGTTCGAACCTTTAAATGTGAAATAGGTAGCATATTTAGTGGTCAGATGGGTGAAGAGAGTAAAATTTTGGTGGTGGGGGTTACTGAAAGTGACGTGCCAGTGGTCCTAGATGTGGGGGTATGGTGGTGGGCACCTAAGTTTGTTGTTTAGTTGTTCAAAAAGTGTAGGAATTTACGAATAATTAGCATTTCATTAAAAGTTGGAACTTTTTTATTGTTTAACTTCGATTTAAGCATTACATTAGGTTTACTTTTTTAAAAAGCATGTGAAAAAGAAATTGAAATTTTAATTAATTATATTTGAATTTGAATAGTATATTTATCTGCATTTGTTGTAGCCCAACTTGTATTGAAACAATATATTCATATTGATATGCAGATCCAGAATGTGAAATATTTAGCATAAGATTACACCATGGGGGAAGAATAAATTGGGGAAATTATGTCAGTTATGAGAATGGAGAAGTGACCTACATAGATATGTGTGATGCTGAACGTATGCCAATCCATGAGTTGAATAAAATGGTTGGAAAAGTTGGTCATCGTAATGCAACCATTTTATACTATTACCTTGAACCAGTTGCAGACACGAGGACTGGTTTGAGAGAATTGTCTACTGATACCCATGTTAGGACATTCTGTGACTGGGCATATAAATTCAAGGTGATGGAAGTGTATTGCCATCATATGACAGACCCAGAAATTGAAGAACTGAAAAATGCTGTAATAATAGAGTCACCAGACAAGGGGAAAAAGAAAACTGGAGTTGTCATAGAGGAAGTAGATGAGGAAGAATGCATAACTAGATATGTAGGTACTGAGAAGAGTAGTAGAAGGGATTGTATGGTTGGGAATGTAGGGGGTGAAAAAAGAGCAAAAAACAGTCAAAGGGATAGTAATGTTAGGGCAGTAGAAGGTGTAGATACGGTTGAAAAGGTAGGGGTGAAAAAACAGCAAAAAGCACTCATGCAGCTAGTAATGTTGGGACAGAAGAGGGTGAACATGAAGCTGACTATGGTGGTGGTGAACACGAAGGTGAACATGAAGCAGAGGGTGAACATGAAGCTAACTATGGTGGTGAACAGCAAGGTGAACATGAAGCAGAGGGTGAAAACATAGATGATGAATCTGAATCCCAAGTAGAGGAAGAAAATGATAGATTTAGTGGTGCCAATGACTATGGTGGTGAAGAGATTATGCTGCACATTTTGAATTCGAATGCTGATGGCTGTGGTGAAACTTCACAGCAACAGCAGAGAGATGAAACAACTGACCAGACGCAATGTTAAGAACAGGAGAATGTTTGTTGAAGGCAAACAGAAACTGACCTAGAAACACAACAGTAAGGTGCGAGAAAGAAACAAGTTAGGAGAAAGAGAACCAGATCAGCAGAACAAACTAGCCAGGGACCGGAGGATATAGATTCACTCCAACAAGATTACATCCCTGATCACCTGAGCAGTGACAATGACTCATCAGATGATGAATTCAAAGGGAGATACAAAGACTTTGTCCTAGAGAAATTCCTCAGGGATCCCAAATTCGAGATTGGGATGAAGTTTGAGTCAAGAGCACAATTCAAATCTGCTGTGACTGAGTATGGGATTAGGATGGGTAAACCTGTTTGGACCAGTAAAAATGAGCCCACCAGGGTGAGGGCCAAGTGTAGGGAACCATGTAAATGGTTTGTATTTGCTTCAATAGAAAAGGCTCTGGGCACAAAGGACTTGGTAGTAAAGACTCTGCATGATGTCCATGAAACATGCAGCCATGCATGGAAAAATAAGAATATTACAGTCAAGTGGCTGTCTGACAGGTATGTAGAGAGGATAAGATCAAATAACAATCTGTCAACAAGAGAGTTAAGGCAAACAGTCCATGAAGACTACCAGGCAGAAGTATCCCTACAAAATGTTGGCTAATTGCTATCATAGGGAGGTATTTTGTACCATCTATGATAATGTGTTGCAGCCTATTAATGAAGATATTCAGTGGCCACAGTCAAACATGCTGGAGTTGGACCCACCAGCAAGTGTCACTCAACCTGGTAGGCCAAAGAAAGCTAGAAAGAGAGATGTTACAGAAGGAAAAGATCACGGCAAAAGGTTGCGAAAGAGGGTTGTAATCCACTGTAGAAAGTGTGGAGGGATTGGACATAATGCTAAAACTTGCAAGAATCCTCCTAAGTCATCTACTGAACAGCAACCTTCTCAACAACCACCACCTACTGGACAACCATGTAATCAGCAGCAGCACGAAGCACCAACAAAAAGACAACGTGTGCGTTTGCACTTCATTATAACTTTCAGCCTGTTTGTGACATTTTTTTGTGATCTGAAATGCTTTCTTTAATATGTAGGTAAGCAAGAATCAGGGACAAAGAAATCAGCAAAAAACTCAGCAGCAGCCAACACATCAACCTCAGTCCCAGCCTTCTCAGCAGCCACCAACACATAAACCTCAGTCACAGCAATCCACCTCAAGACCACCAGTTCATAGGCACAAGAGAAGTACATCAAAAAAGCCACTGACAGAAGCAGACAAAGGTTTTATTAATCTCAACTATGCTTATTTGGGTAAAGATCCACCTTTCAATGTTGGAAACTGGCAGGGAAGAGGTGGAGGAAGAGGAAGAGGCAGGGGAAGGGGAAGAGGAAAGGGTCCATCTGGAACAAGTTCTTCAAGTATTGCTGGACCTGCAAATATTTTTGTGTGATTTTGTTGACTGTAAATGAATGTAACTAGAATGTTGAAACTATAAATGATATTTTTTTGAATAGGCTTTTGTGGGGAATCAAAGCATGTGCCTGTGCTTGGTATCTAGCAATATGGACACAGGTCACTGCTTTTTGTGTATTTGTCTGTTTCCTATGAAAGTGATTGTTGACTGTATTTACAGGCAAACATCATTGTAATTTCCTTTTGCTAATTATATTCTAATGTTATGCAGTTGCTATCTTATATTTGTATGATTTGGTATAGCAGTTTTTGTTGACTAGATAAATCAAATACATCTAACAAAGCCCATGACATGCGAATTGGGATAAATAATTCTCATCACATTACTTGCCGAAAATTACAGTTAGCATTGATTGGGTTCAACCACGCTTTTACACTAATCTGTGGGTACAACAAAGACTTGTTTAAGCTAAACAATACAATATACTTCTCCCTAACCATCTGCATCATACACCATAGATCCATTTGCTCCATCCATGGTCCTCAAAACTGGCAGTACCGATGACAATATGTTACACTTACACACTGCCCTTCACGTATCGTCTTCAATTTGCATAATCCCATTACATTTATTCCCAATTTGGAGCATCCCAAGAGAGACTCCACCTGCAATTTTTTTCTCTGTAAGCACCATTATTACAGCAACCAACCAACTTACCACAAAAACCCTTACAAGGAACTTATTCAACCATTTTTGCCACCGCAGCTGCTTCTCTGTTTCTCTCAATTTTGCCTTCAACTTGGCAGCTTTTGCCTCGGATCTCGCGGCTGCAGTTTCAAATTCGTCTTTTTGCTTTTCTGTTGCATTGATCCTCCTTAGAAGGCCTGGTATCAGCTCAATAGAACGACGAAACATCTCGTCGTCAATCCAATTCCAATACCCGCAGCCACCAACTTCTTCTGAGCAAACGGCGTACCTTCTTCCTGGATTTCTATCAGTCCAAGAAGTAATCATCTTCGTGACTTTACCACAACGACAAGTAGGAAGCAGAGGGCCGCGATATTTGCGCATTTTTTCCTTCCCTTCACAAAGCTTTTACCTTCTCCCCCTTTTTTTTTTCCTTTCAGACTTCTCTCTTGCTTCAATGTCGATGATTTTCCGGCCTGATTTGCCACTCCTTGTTGCTTCAATCTCGAAGATACCCAAACCCGACAGTGCTGATTCTTTCTTGCTCTTCTCCCTCCTCAAAGATCCTTAAGGAAAGATGAAAATAGGTAAGGAAAATGTAGGAAAGATTTTCTCTTGCCACTCCATTGTTGCTTCCATTGTTGCTGTGAAGTTTCGACTAGCAGTTGGGTTGGGTTGGGTTCGAAAAATGGAAAGGAAAGAGGAGTTGTGCCCTTTTTGTTTAGAATATGCGGACAAAAATGCCCTTTGAAGAAGCACACTTGCATTCGTGTGAATTGGTCCTCCGGTTGCAAAACCGGAGAAACTGGCTAAAAGGGCCACGGTTTCCCACTTTTACAAGTTCAAGGGCTTAAAGTCATCAAAAAATAGATGAGGGGATTAATTTTACCTAGACAAATAGTTAAAGGGCCAATTGGATAATTTGCCCTATAAAGTACAAAGTTTCTTTTGAAAATTTCGCGTCTTTAACCAACAGCTACATGGTTGGTTCCAATATGTCTTGTAATATCCCAGGTACAAAAACTCCTCTATATATAATTGCAGATAAAGGCCTCATTCAAAGTGAAACTTCAGAAAAAAAAAAGTCACTTAGAATTAGTAAGTCGCATATGTGAGCAGGTTAATGTAAGCAAAATGAATAAGATACCTGCCTCGCCTTTATTTTCTCAATTTTGATACACAACTCCAGCATTCTCTGTAGTTAATTTTGTCTGTAAAACCAAATGAATTACAGTTTCACAAATAATGATATCTAAGACGATTAGAAAAAAAAATGCAGAGTAAATCTCTTATTGCCATGGTAAAAGCTGCATGGGTAAAATAATACGCCAAAGGGTTTATGTAGGAATTGGAAATGTATCATGGAATTGGAAATGTATCATGGGTTTACGTATTGGGACTAATTGGTCGAGCCAATTGGGCTGAAAGAGCAGGTCAAGTGCAGCGGCTAAAATGCTTTTTTTGGCTTGGGCAAGCTTCTTGGTAAACAATACATTGAACAAACAACAAATAGCTTTAGTTGGATTTTTTTTAAGCAAGAGATTTTCAACCCGGATCTCTCACTTACACTTCCTCCCTGCATTATTTGGATTTAATTACTCGCTATCCTACATTAATTTAGAAGATATTTTTTATGATAAATACCGTTTCAGTAGATCCAACAAACTGAAATATGAATTGTGGAACAAATCTAATATAAACCACTCTCAAACTGCATGTCCTAACACAGCATGGTAATCAAATGTTGAACCATATCCTAGTACTAGATAAAAACACTATTCATAGGGATGGCAATTGAGGTGGGTGTCCTTGTAGTAGGTTCATGGGGTGGTGGATGGGAGGGGGGGTAATTTTCACCCCTCTTTAAAATAACAGGGTGGGGGACGAGGGAGTAAACCCCCGCCTCATCCCGCATCTTGTCCCCCACCTTAATGTGTGTGTGTGTATATATATATATATATATATAATTATGTATATAACATATTTAATATTATTAATTATAATAATTATATTATTAGTTATAGATATCAAATTATGTAATGTAATATAATTAATATTATTAGTTATACTAATAATTATAAATTTATACTAATATAAATTATTGATTAATTATATTAATACATTTATACTCAATTACTAATTATGATTTATTATTCATTATATATATATATTTATTCATTATAAACTTTTTTCCCCTATAGGCATCCGTGGGAGAAGCAAGATGGGATGGGGTGGGGTGGGGTGGGGTGGGGCCGGGGTGGGAGAACCCTTGCCCTGTTTTCATTCCTAACCATATTTTCCAATAGCATATCCTCAATCCTTGCCATGTGTACAACTAATGTATGAGGTTTGTGTGTGGAAATTGCATGGGAAGTGAGTATAAGTGGATATTTTTGCTTCTCAATTTTACTCATTTAGCAATAAATTATCTATGAATTTTTTTTATAGTGTAGGTAGGTGGTTTCAAATCTGGAACTTCTTATTTACATCTCTCGTCTCACCCAACCTATTCCTTCCCCACGTCTATGAACTTCTTGAATCTTTGGTACAAAAGTAGTTTGGTAGTTTATTGAAGTAAAAAGCACAAATATTTTGATAAAATTAGTAATGTGATCATGAATCTCGAAATCATTTGTCATAGCGATACCAACTCTTGAGCTAAGCCTTGGAACTGGAAAAAAAAAAAAAAAGAACTTGTAGACAATAGCGTAGAAAGTTTTGGACACTTTGTATTACTTCTACAAATTGTACGAAGTATCTATTTTGGCAATTTGCCCAAACTTCTATGAAGCCCTGTTTTGCTCTTGAAAAGCAATGAGGAAAGGGAAATGAAGAAATGCACGATTGATCTCTAAATTTGATTATTGTATAGAACTCGCGTTAAAAAATTATCATTAATATTCCTAGGCTCAATGTACAACTTTTATTGAGTTCATAAAAAAACTTATGGAGAAATCCATTGGACAAGCAAATCAATAAAGAACTAATAAAACAATCCAAAGACAATTTAATTACTTTATTTCGAGTACAAAAAAAAAAAATGATACCGTTAACGATAAACCATAGCCACATAATTTTTGTGACTTGTACTACTTGTCAAGCATATTGATTCTAAAAATTGTCACAAACTCAAGCTAGTTTTTTTTTTTCGTAGAAAAGGGATATAACAAACTCAAGCTAGTTACTCGTATAAATTGAAACCCATTTTTCAGCACCTCAGAGCCTAAAATAATCCATTGATTAGAAGGCAAGGAAGAATTATTCCCAAATTACCGACATTTGAGATTGACGAATAGAAATTATACTCCCCTCCGTCCCACTTTGATAGTCCTTTTTTTCACACAATTTAAGAAAAAATAGTTAACTTTGTTGGAAAAGTAAATTTAGATTGCTATTTTCCTAAAATACTCTCACATTAAATATGGTACAATTTTATGGGAACTTGAATTGATGGTAAAAAAAGAATCAACTCTCATTAAATGGGGTAGGTTTATAATAACAACTACTCACATTGAATAAGGGTATTTTAGGAAAATTAAAATACAATTACATTCTTCAATTGGAAAGTGGACTACAATTTGGGACAGATAAAAAAGGAATAAAAGACTATCAAAGTGGGACAGAGGGAGTAACATTTTTAGCAGAGGAGGATTGGTTTTTTATTTTCTTTTTCGGATAAAAGCTGGAAAATTCTTATTGGGCAGAATGACTGATATGATCCTGGCTCGAAAGTTTGTCACCTTCAAAGCAAAATATCCTTTCCTGAGCTTATAGATCCTAACCTCACATTCGGAGCCATTCTCAACAACCCCAAAACTTGTAGCAATAATGAGACACAACAAAAAAGAGCATTTTGACATTTCTCTTCACGAAATTGAAGAGCAGCCTGAGGAGGGGGAGGTCGAATGGGTTAAGCTTGATAGTTCAATTATGTGTAGTAGTTCTGCAGAGGGTGATAAGAGTATATTTTACGTATTTTTAGTGTGCTTTATTAATTAGTTTTGGTGTGTTTTATTTAGTTTTATAAATAATTAACTAAGGTTTTGGTAAAAATCTACATTTTATGTTAAAGTGGCTAACATTGCATTTTTATGGATTTTTATGGTAAAAACTTCATATTTTGTAGGTTTAATGATTCAATCATCAAATGAAGTGCATTGAGAAGATATTTGGATGATTGATGATGAATTAAAGTGGTGAAAATAAAATATGAAGTGTAAAAAGGAAAAATGCAATTTGAATCAAGAAAAGTCAGGTTTTGACAACTCTGACACGTTTTGGTATTTTGACTATATCTGGAGCTACACTGATCGGATCAAGGTGATCTTGGTACCATTTTGAAGCTAAGA